AAATTACCCATTTGAGTTATTCTCCCAGAACGGTTACCCTAGTGATTTCGTACGTCGATGCATGAAACAGCAAGAGATAAAAGCAAAAGAACTAGATAGTTCCAATCAAGCGCCCAAAGTCCATACCTGGCGAATCCAGGCAGGGCCAATGGCACGAATAGAAAGAGTCACACGGGGTCGACTGCCGACGCTGGTGGAGAGAGGGAGAGGCGCTGACCGAAATTCACGAGACCGGTGTGGCACAGTCTCACGGACGTATTCGCGGAGCCGGAAACACCACGCCTGAGGAACAACGATCGATCAACCCGCCGTCTGACGAGGGGGAGGCCAACGAGCACGCCGACGCAGCGGCAACCACGACAAGTATGAGGGGGAGACAGGGCACGCCAGTCCGCCAACGGTTGGGATCAGAGAGGCCATAATCAACCAACAGAAAACAGGCTAGCCAACGTACCTGCGTTGGGCACGGTTATAGTATGAGGCAGGCGGCAAGGCTAAACAAACCAAGGCCAGCAGGAAACGCCAGTGATCGACTCTGATGATGGAAACGAGAGTGTTTCCGAAACGTCAGTTTGAATACAATCTGGTCCATGAAATCGCCTTCTCTTCTACGTCTTCCTCGGGGGATGATAAACACTACATATAATTCGATTGAAAAATGAGTCCTCTGGGCAACTGAACAAACTTTATTTCGTAGATTTTCGACGCTGGCTCCCCAGGTTCTCCTTCTTGCAAACTTGGAGTTCGTCATTTAATTAGAAAATCTCACAGATGATGGACATTTCACAATCCGGAAAAGCACTGTACAAGCCCTAAAGAACTGAAACTATTTTTCAGTTTTATCACGCAAGGAAATGGAGGCATTGAAGACCCTGGCAACTGACAACATTGTTATTCTTCCTGCAGACAAAGGAGGCTCAACTGAAATTTTAGACGAAGCAGACTACAGTAATAAGATGCTATTCTTGTTAGAAGATAGATCAACTTGTATGCCTCCCACCATGGACCCCACCAAAGCACAAATTTCATCCATCGATAAAGTGCTGAAACGGCTGGCAAGAATGAAACAAATACCAGAAGAAATTGCGAAATCCCTAAGACAAACTGAATCGGCAATCGCCAAGATCTATGGCCTATCGGAAGTTTACAAACCCGACGTACCGTTGCAACCGGCAGTATCACTAATCGGTGCACCGAATTACAAGATTTCTAAATGGCTATTCCACAAACTCTATCCCTTAACAAAGGATTGTGAGACTTCAATCGAGAATTCTATTGAATTTTTAGACAAAGTACGCGGACTCACCATTGATACGGATGAGGTAATGGTTTCGTTCGATGTTGTCACGTCCATACCATTCGATTTAGCAAGGCAGTGCACAGAAGATTTCTTACAATCCTACGACATCGATGTTCCTGCATCTGCTCTGCTTGAACTCTTGGACTTATGTCTGGAAATGAACTTTTCGTTCGCGCATGAATATTATGGGCAGCTGAAAGGAGCTCCTATGCGGTCACCGAATTCTGGCTTTCTGGCTGAGATCGCAATGCAAAAATTAGAAGCCATGGCCCTACCATTATTCAAACCCAAATTATGGGTACGCCACGTAGATGACACCTTTGTCATCGTCAAGAGAGATCAGCTGGAAACGCTGCATAACGTTATCAACTCAACGCTACCGGAAATAGCATTCACGCTTGAAAGAGGAGTTGACAACAAACTCCCATTTCTTGATGTCCTTGTACAGCGAAAAACTGACGGGCATTCCAAACATCAGTATACCGCAAAGGAGCTTACGCGGAAGTTATCCTACATTACGAAAGCAACCACCCTATCGCTGACAAACGGAGTGCTGTTAACACCCTACTTAATCGAGCAAAGGCACACGGCTCTGAGAACAAAGGGTAAAAAATAGAACTTGATTAGTTGTTCAACCTATTTTCCAGAAACGGCTACTTTAGAGATTGGGTACGCCAATAGATGAAACAGCAGGAATCAAAGGAAAGAGATAAGGAACTAGATTGTTACGATAAGGCGCCAAAATCAAAATATTGACGGACGCTTCCTTACACTAAAAATGTGTCTGAATTCCTTGAATGACACCCGATGAAGCACCAAATACAAGTGGCGCACAAACCGAAGACTACGCTACGCAATCAGCGTGTACTCCCTAAGGACAGGGTTGGCTATTTGGATAAAAAAGAAATAGTCTATAAGATTCCATGCGGTATTCATAATGTGGTATATTGTGGTCAAACCCGGAAATTCGCCTCCACACGCCTACATGAACACCAATTGGCAGTAAAAGGACGGAACCACTTATCCCAAGTCGCCATGCATACTCTAGGAACCGGACACGAATTTGCTTGGGACAAAACACGCATCGTCGATTCCTGCCCATAAAAGAAAGGCCGAGAATTTTTAGAGGCCATTCCCTCTGATGATTCCTGCATCAATCGGCGCATCGATCTGGTTGCCATGTACACAAATCTCAAAGAAAAATGGAAGAGGTGAAAGCCGATCAAGACGTGACGCCCGTCCACAACATTGACCCCTCCTCAGCACTGAACAAGCAATATCGATTTTCCGGGCATGTTTAAATTTTAACTGTTTTTACACTCTACACGTCTGGGGGACGAGCGTCGAAAATTTACAAAATAAAGTCTGTCCAGTTTCTCAAAGGACTCATTTTTCATCGAAATATATGCATAGATATGCATTGTTAGGGGGCGCTCACCGATCGTTCATACAGAACTCACTCGTTCCGTTGTGCCTTAAGGGCTCTCTCTCGAGCCCAACCAGCAGCCGCACAGCGGCGCATGATATATAGGCAAAATGATATTACCGACAAAGACAAGGGAGACTGGAATGGCCATTTCTGGCTTATTAGCCGTCGTCAGCCAGCCATACCCAAGCCCGAAGTGTGGCTGGCTGACGACGGCTAATAAGCCAGAAATGGCCATTCCAGTCTCCCTTGTCTTTGTCGGTAATATCATTCTGCCTATATATCATGCGCCGCTGTGCGGCTGCTGGTTGGGCTCGAGAGAGAGCCCTTAAGGCACAACGGAACGAGTGAGTTCTGTATGAACGATCGGTGAGCGCCCCCTAACATTGTATATTCCCGATCGAAAACCGACAGGACAACGGGCTCGTGGCCCGGTGAGTAGAGGCGTTGACTTCCAAACCAACAGGTCGCGAGTTCGAGGCTCGGGTGCTCCACACTTCGGGCTTGGGTATGGCTGGCTGACGACGGCTAATAAGCCAGAAATGGCCATTCCAGTCTCCCTTGTCTTTGTCGGTAATATCATTCTGCCTATATAGCTATGCATATACACATATATAATACATAATCGGCCCGCCAAGAGTGCAACAGGCGAGACGCAGACAGCTGTTTCGCGGTCGTTACGGATCATCAGTACGTCATAGGTCATTTGAAATGAGGCATATTGTTGGGTGTGCCTACACTCCCAAAAACAAGAGCCAGCCAGTCACGGGAGGTCACGTGCGTTTCTCTGCTGCGCTGTCATCTTAATCGTGGCGCCTCTCCATTGGCTTTTCCTCTCGGGCCTGATCGATCAGCATATTCGAATTATCGACCGGCTCGTCTCGAATGTTCTTCCCGAAGGGCATTGGGCCGAACGCCGGCGAAGCACAGTAGGGCGCAATAAATAGGCGTTACTTCCAGTTAATTTTGACTTTCAATTTCCTAATACACATTTTCGTGGCCGGTCGCGTTCTCCTTCTCTGCCGCGTTGGTATTGGGGACAAGGGTCGAGTGCGCATACGCTCCACAGGATTTCAAGTACCAGGCGGGTCATAACAAATTGGCGACGCAGGTGAGATAATACAATGGCTGACGAGTACGCAGACTTGAAGCAGATGTTGGGGCAGCAGCTGAAGCTAATGGAAGCACTCACCGTTAAGCTGTCCAACTCGTCCATGGGTCAATCGAGTGCGGCAGGTGGTTCGCAATCTCTTGATCACATTGCCGGCAGCATCACGGAATTCTCATAAGACTCGCAGGCACATATCACCTTTGATTCATGGTACAAACGACACTAGGACTTGTTCTCTGTCGATCTGGCTGCCCAGGACGATGCATGGAAGGTTCGACTCCTACTTCGCAAACTGGGTCCGGCTGAACACGAGCGTTATGCAAACTTCATCCTCCCCAAGAATCCCCGAGAAGTCGCTTTCAAGGACACGGTTAAGACGTTGTCGCAGATTTTTGGTGATCAATCATCCCTTTTCGACACTCGATTTCAGTGCCTGCAGCTGTGCAAACGCGATTCCGATGATTTTATCACGTATGCGGGCATTGTCAACCGTGAGTGTGGGCGTTTTCAACTCGGTTCTCTCACTGAAGACCAGTTTAAATGCCTCATATTTATCTGCGGCCTCCACTCCCCCAAGGATGCTGATATCCGGACACGTCTCCTGTACAAAGTGCAGCAGAACAACTCTACCACACTCCATGAGCTGGCAGCAGAGTGCCAAACGCTGATCAATCTCAAGCACGACTCTGCAATGATTCAGAACCCTGCCTCATCTTTCTCAGTCCATATGGTCACATCGACCAAATCGCATCCTGTTACACGACCCAAACAAGTGTCCAAGGCGAGATCTCCGCCATCACCTCATCGGCACTGTGGCGCGTGGCATTTCCACCAGGATTGCACTTTCCGCCAGCATCGCTGCCAAAGCTGTAATCAGGTGGGACACCGTGATGGGTTCTGCAAATCAGTACCAGCTTCTGGAGGCAAGCCAGCCCCCCGCCACTCCTAATTCCAGGCACCGTTTCCGGCCAAAACGCAAGCCCGAACCCCAGTCCGTTGGTAATTCTCTCAGTCTCTTGGCCACTTTCCAGCTCAATGGGGCTGGTCATAGAAAGTTTGTTGACATTCTGCCCAATGGTCACGCAGTCCGCCTACAGTTGGACACTACCTCAGACATCACCATCATCTCTGAGAGACTCTGACGGTCCCTTGGCAGCCCAACGATGCAGCAGACATCCCAGTCCGCCACAAGATCGTGCGGTAGTCTTGTCCCGCTAATGGGGAAACTGAAGTGCTGTGTGTCGTTCCGCGGCACTACCATCACTGCGATCTGCCACGTCGCCAAGTCTGAGCTCAACCTGCTTGACCGAGACTGGATTGAAGACATTGTTTTGGCCGATATGCCGCTCCGCGTTGTTTGCTGTCAGGTGCAGATTCCCGATGTGCTTGCAGACCAGGCCAAGGACATTCTCCAACGATTTGCTCCAGTGTTCCAAGACGGCCTGGGTCGTTGCACATACACTCAAGCCGTGCTACATCTGTCTCCTGGAAGTCAACCAGTCTTCCGTCCAAAGCGACCAGTTCCATATGCAGCCTTACCACTTGTCAAGGCTGAATTGAAGCGTCTAGAGGAAATGGGAGTTCTGGTTCCTGTATCCTACTCCGCCTGGGCCGCTCCAATCGTTGTGCTTAAGAAGCCCAATGGCTCGATTCGCATTTCTGCTCAGATCTGCTGCTCACGCACTACGACCCGACGCTGTCGATCGTTGTTGCTGCAGATGCTTCCAACCACGGAGTTGGTGCCGTAATCTCACATACTTTTCCTGATGGGTCTGAAAAGGCGATCATGCATGCATCTCGCACACTAGCCCCTGTGGAGAAGAACTATGGGCAAACAGAGAAAGAAGCTCTAGCCCTCGTGTTTGCCGTCAAGAAATTTCACAGACTGTTTTACGGTCGCCACTTCACGTTGTTGACGGATCACAAACCATTGCTGTCAATCTTCGGTTCGAAGAAGGGCATTCCCGTCTACTCAGCCAGCCGACTTCAGCGATGGGCAACCATCCTTCTTGGCTACGATTTTGACATTCGCTACTGTCGTACTACAGACTTTGGTCAGGCTGACGCCCTTTCTCGCCTCCTCAGCAATCAGCAGGAACCGGAGGAAGATACCGTGATTGTCGCTATTTCGATTGAGGACGATGTGCGCCGTCAGTTATCAGACGCCATACGAGGTATCCCTGCCACTGCCGCGGACATCCGGCATGCTACTGAACAGGATCCTGTCCTCCGTCAGGCCAGCACCTCGTGCAGACCTGCTGGCCAACCACTGCTCTCGCTGGTGATCTTCGTCAGCTCTTCCTCCGCCGAGCATCGCTATCTGTGGTTGACTCCTGCCTCATGTTTGCCGATCGTTTGGTGATCCCATCTTCCCTCCGACCCACTGTACTACGCCAGTTCCATGCCGCTCATCCTGGTACCAGCCGAATGAAGTCAATTGCTCGCAGTTTTGCCTACTGGCCGGGTATCGACGGCAACATCGACGACCTGGTTCGACGCTGTTCTCTATGTCAGCAAGCTGCCAAGATGCCGCCTCGTCAACCGCCAGTACACTGGGAACCACCGGAGAGGCCTTGGTCACGCGTGCATATCGACTTTGCTGGCCCACTTAACGCAGTCTCCTACCTAATCTTGGTTGACGCCTACTCGAAGTGGCCCGAGATTTCTCCGCTGAATCCAGCAACCGCATCTGCCACTATCGCCTTCCTACGACGCATCTTTAGCCAGCATGACATACCAGAAGTCCTGGTTTCAGATAATGGCTCTCAGTTTACCTCATCGACGTCTGAAGATTTCTGCCGCCAACACAACATCCAGCATTTTCGCTCCCCGCCCTACCATCCTCAGTCTAACGGTCAGGCGGAGCGTTTTGTCGACACTTTTAAGGGAGCCCTTTTGAAAGCTCGTGTGGAGGGGACCACGGACGAGATAGTCCAGGCGTTCCTGTTTTCCTACAGGACAACACCGAACCCGGCGTCCCCTGGTGGCGTTTCACCTGCCGAAGCGTTGATGGGCCGAAAACTGCGTACAACATTTCATGCACTCGTCCCTACCGGTGCGCAGCCCGCGCAGACTTCTCCAGTCTCTCGCAGCATGCTCTCCATCGGAACATCTGTCTTCGTCCGTGATTATCGAGCGGGGTTCCCAGACTGGATTGAAGCAACCGTAGTAGCGCACAGAGACAGTATGTTGTTTGACGTCGACGTTGGTGATGACATCTGGGTTCGCCACCACAACCAGATCCGACGGCGACACTGCAATAACACAACTGGGCTCGAGTCGGCGCCGTCACTCTCCCTTGACATCCTACTGGATACCTTCGCCATTCCGGCAGATCAGTCGGTTCCCGAACCCACTGCTGCGCCCCCTTCGGATATACCACCTTCGGTATCAGTTACCGCTCCCGTATCTCCAGGCATTAAACAACGACTAAGACGCCGGACCAACCGCGTGCGCCGATCAACACGGCTGATGCAGGTCAACCCACGCCAGAAGCGGTACTGACCTACTTGGAGGGGAGGTGTTGGGATTGCCTACACTCTCAAAAACAAGAGCCAACCAATCACGGGAGGCCACGTGCGTTTTCTCTGCTGCGCTGTCATCTTAATCGTGGCGCCTCTCCATTGGCTTTTCCTCTCGGGCCTGATCGATCAGCATATTCGAATTATCGACCGGCTCGTCTCGAATGTTCTTCCCGAAGGGCATTGGGCCGAACGCCGGCGAAGCACAGTAGGGCGCAATAAATATGCGTTACTTCCAGTTAATTTGACTTGCAATTTCCTAATACACATTTTCGTGGCCGGTCGCGTTCTCCTTCTCTGCCGCATTGGTATTGGGGACAAGGGTCGAGTGCGCATACGCTCCACAGGATTTCAAGTACCAGGCGGGTCAGAACACATATAAACATGTCAAGTAAGCTCTTTACGCTTACTGTTGTGAATCAAAAACCTGGTCATTTGTTGTGTGGACCAGGGGGTGTGGAGTGGGACGCCAAGGTGCGGGCTCGACCGTGCCATCCACCTGTGCCCTCCTCCGCCTCCGGTCTTTTTGACTCTGTCTTGACGCCAGGCCCAGGTGGGGGAGGAGAGAGTACGGTAGATGCTGTGGAAGTCTATTATCACTACAAAATAAATTTCCGCACAAGTCACCGTCCCCGCTCTCACCCTGCTGTGGGGCATCCGGTGGACATCGTCAGATGCGACGGTCGAATTGTCATGCGGCTAGGATCTCACTCGATCCCATTCTGTCTGCCGTCAGTTTGCTACTGATGACCGGTAACGATCGTGAAACAGCTGTCTGTGTCTGTCCTGTTGTAATCAGCGGGCTGTTTCTATATATGTATATAGATATATGGAAGAAGGTAAAGAGATCTCTGGGGAGGATGGTTTATTCGTCTGACGTTTCACACTCATACTTGAGCGCACAATCGGAGATAGGTTAAAAGTGGGAATACAATGTTTAAATAGGTCTTTCTTACTCACTACTGATAGGTTTATTGTTCTCTCTTCCCATTGGTCCTCCCTTCCTGCTCAAGTGGTGTCTGACGGCCTCATATGGCGCCGGTAGGTCGATTATATGGTTGATCGAGTTGGCGTTCGATTGCCAGGCTTCGATTACCTCTCTCGCCATTTTGCTTTTAGCTCGGCCGATTACTTCTGCCCTGTCGAAGCCGAATTGGTGGTCATTCCAAGGCTATGCATAGCAACATGTGATCGTACATCTTTTCGCTTTACAGCTAGAGAATCTCATGCATGCGCGACCTTAATCGTTTGTCGGTCATGCCACAATAATTGGCCGGACAGTCTAGACGATTGACTCGGTAAACAATTCCTGACGTGTCCGCAGGTGGTAGCCGCCCCTTGGGCTGCATGAGCGAGCGAGTACACCCTAAGGATAGGGTCGGCTATTTGGATACAAAGGAAGTAGTCTATAAGATCCCGTGTGGGGCCTGTGATGCAGTTTATTGTGGTCAAACAGGAAAATCCGCCTCTACATGCATTCACGAACACCAACTTGCAGTAAAGAGGCGAGACCACCTGTCTCAAGTAGCCATGCATACCCTGGACACGGGGCATACGTTTGCTTGGGACAGAACACGGATTGTCGGCGCCTGCCCCTTCAAGAAAGGCCGAGAGTTCCTTGAGGCCATGCACTCGGATGAATCGTGCATCAACCGTCACATCGAGTTGGACGCCGCGTACAAAAGTCTCAAGGAGAAATGGAAGAGACGAGAGCCAATCGGCACAGAAGGACGCAAATAGCGGCCGCTCACGGGCACAAACGCGAACGATTATCGATTTTTTCCACGTGCGCTGCCAGATGTTAACTGTTGTCGGCACATTTACTCTCAGTCTGCGTCTGACGACGACCTGGGGAACCAGCGTCGAAAATTTATGCAATAAAGTTCATTTTCCCAAAGAACGCCTTTAACTTCAACATATATGTATATGTAGTAGTAGAAGGGCGCTCAGCAATCGCGCTACGGAACCTGCTCGTCCCATTGTGCCTTAGGACTTTCTCGAGCCCAACCAAAAGCCGCACGTGATAAAAGGCAGAATAGTATTACCGACAAAGACGAAGACTGGAATGGCTATTTTAAGTTTATTAGCCGTTGTCAGCCAGTCATATCTGACCCCGAGGTGTGGAACACCTGGGGCTCGGCCCTGGGACGTTTTGGTTAGATGTTCAACACCCCTAACCACTGTGCCACGGGCTCGTTGTCCTATCGGTTGCGATCGGGTGTATGCAATGGTAGAAGGACGCTTACCGATCGTTCTTACGGAACTCACTCGTCCAGTTTTGTCTTGGGACTCAATCAGCAGCAGCCGCACGGCAACTAGCACTGTAGACAGAGCAGCAGACGCGAAACCGTTGGAATATGAGGACATTCAAAACACCAAGATTTTGAGATAATAATTACTTAGAGGTCACGCAGAATTGAAGTGCACCAACTGATGAATGCGTTGGTGGACGTCCCAAAGATCGAAACCTACCGAGTTACAAAGTCGACGTAGTCCTCGACTGAAGGCATCATTGATTCCAAAAGTGCGGACGACTGGTGAGGAGATAAGCGGGTGCCTTCTGAGTTGCCTCTCCCCTCAGACCACTGTTGAAAGCGTTCGACCGCAACTCGCCAGAAGAATACGCATTCAACAGAACATTTATCTTGCTTCGGGAGATGCCTGTGAAAAGAAAGTTTTTTTGAATGATTTAAAACACAAGTGTTGCCCGACCCCACAGTAGAAGTCATAAAATTCAGTACCAAGTTAAGACAATTGACCGATCATATTAAAGCTGTAGCTCACGGCCAAAGGAGGCAGGCACGCAGAAATTCAGCGGGAAAGACTAGACGGACCAGTTCTGGCAGCTCTCACATGGCCAACCAGCCATGAACGTGTTGCATGAGAGAGGGAGAGAGATCCAGCGAGGAGCTACGAGAGAAAACAGAGGACGTCGACGGTAGGATGAAGGACCTCACTTAACTGTCGGTAAACGGGATCGTATCATATGGGGTTTTATCTTGGCGTCCATCCGCAGGTCGTTGCAGACATTGCACTGCCAACAACAACTACTTCCCATGACCTCAAACCATTACTTAAACTCCGTTATTTTTTGAAAATTTGTTTTTAATCTACTTTTTTGGTTACCGTGCTCATTTCCGTTCCCATACAAAAGCGTACAATAATACTTTCAGCAGAAATTCGAACAATTTCTGTGTTTTCTTGCATTTCATCAGTTTACTGTCTGGCGTATTGCCCACCCGTAAAACTCCCATAACCGCCATTCCGAGATGACACAATTCACAGTATACTGACAGTTAAGTGAGGTTCTTCACCCTACCGTTGCCCAGAGAAGGACTAGTCGACCCTGCGATCAGGCCAAACAAATAAACATCACTTCCATGTAACTTTGCATTTTCGTGAAGTAAGGCAACAGAGCTTAGGTCCGTGGATCAAACGGTGCGACATCCTGTGTTTGAGGTATAACGGGCAGGTGGGGGCAAACAACCCCAAAAGGATTGTTCGGCCCACCTTGTCTCTGCGGCAACTCTTCTTTCGTGGTGGTCGCTTGTTTCTAGGCGACTGTCAATAATGCCTCCATAGCAGAGCTGCAAAGCGATGCACCTGCATCCGATCCTCCAACCCGGGAAATTGCTTGACGCAGCATGTTTTCCGTATGAAACGGTGTTCAGCTGTGAATTATTGAAAGAGGGCATTACAACACTAAGTAGCTTACCTCACTGATTTACTTGACAGCAGTGGGTTACATAAAAAACAACAGGCCCCTTTCACAAATCATTGTTCAAAACAACAATAAATAAATAACCGAGAATACCTAGAAAGGCAAGGTAGACCGGAATGGCCATTTCTGAATAAGGTGCATAGTCAGTCGATGCCAGTAAAACCTGGTAGAATACTAGGCTCAAGGACCAGCCGGACCCAAGTTCTAACTTTAGGTCTTCAGAGTAAAAGCTTGAAGTATGGCTGATTTGCGACGATCAACAAAGCAGAAATGGTCCTTTAACCCTACCTTGTCTTTGTCGAAAATACTTTCCGACGATGTCCACCGTGTTGCAGCAGGCACGGTGACTTGCGCGTGAATTATTTTATAGTGATACTACACTTGCGAAGCATCTACCACATTCTCTCTTCCCCACTCCCCACTTTTACCCGGTGTAAAGAAAGAGTCAAGAAGACCGGAGACGGGGGAGGGCGCAGGTGGCTGGCACGGCCGGAACCGCACCTAGGCGTGCTAACACACTCCCCTGGTCCACACAGCAAATGACCAGGTTTTTGGCCAACAACACCCCAACAGGAGTTAGAAGGACGAGGATGATGACTGGGCAGTCATGACCACCACCTGTATAACCAGAGGGGGCGCAAGCGCATACCAGGCTGCGAGGGCCATGGTTTGCTGATACCGCGTCCACCGTAAGTTACTGACTCATGAATTGAGTGCATTCACCGTGCCCTTGCCGGCGCACGCAGGTCTGCATGCGCGCTCTAACCACCGCAGCAGTGTCCGTCAATTAATGGGGCCATTAACCGCGTTGGTGGTCCATCCGAGTACAGCATCGTTGCAAAGCAGATCGATAAAGGGACAGCTTTTACCACCAAGCCCACGCACTTCGCCAATTGTCAGTTCCCTGTACTTGGCGTAGCCAATAGGAAGATGGACAACAGCGCGCATTCGATCATAGTGGGGGGAGGGAGCAAAATGCACTGAGCTATGGACCAGAGCCAACGCAATCACTTGGGTTTCATTGACAAGTGGAACGTTCACCTGTCGGCGGCCCAAACTTTACTAGAAAAAGCGCACAGAAGCGATGAGCAGCAGAAGCAAAGTTCCACTCATTATGAGTTTTGTAGTATTGTCACGTGGTAGATGCGCTGGACCTACACGGGGGGGGGGCATATTGGATTCTGACAGGCGTTATCGGAATGCAGACAATAAAAAATGCCAACATTTCAGGATGAGGTGGCAGACCCAATTGCCGGTTGCCATCGCGCACATTGGGACCCATTTTTGTTGTTGGTTAAAATCCTGGTCATTTTCTGTGTGGACCAGGGGGGTGCGGAGTGGAGCGCCAAGGTGCGGGCTCGACCGTGCCATCCACCTGCGCCCTCCCCTGCTTCCGGTCTTCTTGACTTTGTCTTGATACCGGGTCCAGGGGGGTGGGGGAGAAAGTGCGATGTCGCGCAAGTCTAGTATCACTATGAGCTAATTCACGCGCAAGTCACCGTGCCTGCTCTCACCTTGCTGTGTGGAACGCACGGTGGACATCGTCGGCAACGACGGTCGAACTATCAAATAGTATCGTGAGAAATGCATCTGACCTCACAGACGGAGGCCTAGAGTTCGACCCCGTGGTGCTGCATTGACGGGCTCTACTGAAGCGCAAGCGATTTCAATCACATTCGTAGCCTAACCATAACAACTAGTGCTGTATTCAGCCCGTTTTAAGACATCTTCTGTTTTGTCTAGAATACGAGACCTCCGACATAACACGGCTAGATTTAGCAACAAAGTGCTTTGCGGTCGCTCAAAATCCCGACTTAGGGACTAAGTCTTTTAAATGTCAATAATAATTAATGACTGTTACGCATTTCAAATGTGTAGACCGGACAAAGAGTATCGACCGTCCCTCCTGCTAGTCAGACCAGATCTCAGTGTCGATCTACGATACTTAAGATTTAAACTCCAGCCTATTTGATCTTCAAGGTTAGCTCTCTACTAGTTGAATTATGGGCCAGTACTCAAGGTACTGCGATCGGGGGTTATTGAAAATCAACTAAGAATGACACCCACCAGCCTGGCCTGATTTTAGGACGGAATACGGAAGTTCCGTTGGCCCCGTTGAGATACTGGTACACAACCTGTCTAATGCAAACCGGAACAATACACACGACGGGTGAGCTGCAACTCGCTAATTTAATCTGCTTGAATTCCACGGCACATTTCACCCCGTTTTATCCTGCAACCCTAGACACGAAACCTTTTGAGCGATCACACAACGTTGAAGTGGGAGTAATTAAAGGAAGTCGTTTGACCTGTATCCATTTCGTCTGTCCGAAAATGTTTTGAAAGACGTGATTTTGGGCAACCATGTGATCCGGTATCAAAAATTGTCATTGTTTTGTAGGCCGATATTGAAAAAAAGATGCTTCAGCACTTTTTCACTATTTCTGTACCAGCTCACGAATTCCAATTGGCGGTCATTTATATAGAGCTCAATGTCTATGAGCTTATTCATTGCATCAGTCGGTTGACCGGCTCGGACTATCGTTTGATGCACGGGAGAAGAGTGATCAATGTTGGCTCTCAGTGCATTTTCCTCACTATAAACACGCCGGCGCGCTTCACACTACCACAATGACCTAGAAGCAATGATTCAGGTCAGACTTCGCAGTCACCCCAGTGCGTCTCTGTGTGGAGTGGTTGACTGGCGGGGGTGTAGAGGTGTCCATCAGTGGGTTCTCACGTGACGGTCGTAGTAAGTCGCTTACCTGCGTGCAGGTGCAGACTACGCCTGGTACCCAACTCTCACATGTGGCTCCACGGAGCTAGGCTCTGTCTAGCGGCCACACCCCGGTAACCGCCTCGACCGGCGGGCTAAATCAGGTGAGGGTATCCGTGTGTGCACCTGCGCGCACGGTACTGTGGACTCCGCTGGGCGGCTGGATCTCCGCGTCGGACTCGTCGAGAGGAGGCTCCGTCTTGACCACCGCAGGAGGCCACAAGGTAAGTGAGCCCTCAGGTAAGCAAGCGTTGCTCTGTTTCCTTACTTGCATGTCAGTGTTGCATGCTGTATGCTGTTCTTGTTGCCTGTTCCATGTCCGTTTATTTGTGCTTCTCTTTACTAATAACTCGCCGTCATTGTGCTGGACTTCGTGTGCTGCCTTGCTTATTGTTGTTCCTGCCTGCTGACTATGTCTGTTTGTCCATCCTAACTGTAAGTCATATATCGTTCTTTTGGTTGTATCTTCTCTCCTATTTAGTTTCCCCCCCCCCTCCCCCCAAGGTTCCAGGCTAATTCGGGTCGTTCTCTCACTAACGAAAAGCCATGGCCCATAGTGCAGTTCCGCAGCCGTCTGGGATAACCATGCAGCCCTATTTAGGGGGTGCGCCGCCTGCTCCCGCGAGGGGGAAGGGGCTAGAAAAGGTGCCCTAAATAGTTCTGGGGAACCACGCCGTCTGCGGGCTGACCGTGGTCGCAGACAAAAACCACACGGTCGAAACAGCCAAAAACCGAAACAACAACCATCTCTCTCCTCCTCCCTCCTCCTCTCCACCGCCTCAATCGCCAGACTGGCAGGACGAATCCGCTCACTCTGACAGCCTGGAATGTTCGTTCCCTTATAGACAACCCGACAAGAAACCGACCGGAACGGAGGACAGCACTAGTGGCCCAGGACCTGGCGCGCTACAAGGTGGACATCGCCGCGCTCAGCGAAACCTGGTTCTCCGAACAAGGCCAACTGCAGGAGATGGATGCCGGCTACACCTTCATCTGGAGCGCTCGCCCCAAGGCAGAGCGACGGGACGCGGGTGTCGCCTTCGCGAAAGAAGGCCACTTGGATGCCTCCTCGATCACGTCAGTGGCACCTGTTGAACCATGTCCTCGTCTGGAGGCGAGACCAGCGGGGCGTGATGGTGACAAAGGCGATTCCGGATGCTGATCGGTGGACCGACCATCGCTTCGTTATCTCGAAGATGCGGATTCGCCTACAGCCTTGCGAGAGACCACAAGGTAAGCGACCCCCAGGTAAGCAGAATATTTTCTTAATGTCTTTGCCTGCTCACCATGTCCATTTCAGCAACGAGCTAGTTCAACGGCTAGACAACCTACCGCCACCGCCGCTAACGAGAACGCCTCTGTGGAGAACCGATAGTGTCAACTGCGGGACACAGTCCAGTCGACGGTGATGGCCGTCCTCGGTCGCGCACACCGTCAACATCAGGACCGGTTCGACGACAACGACGCCGCCATCAGTAACCTACTCGCCGAGAAGAACCGCCTGCGCGAAGCCTACATCGACCGCCCCACTGACGACAACAGAGCTGCTTTCTACCGCAGTCATCACCTTGTACAACAGCGACTGCGCGAGATGCAGGACGTCTGGACGGCTCGCATGGCCGAGGAGATCCAAGGTTACGCGGGCCAGAACCAATGGAAGAAATTCTGCGCGATAAAAGTTGTCTACGGTTCCCCAACCAAAGGTACTGCACCCCTCCTCGACGCCGACGGCAGTACCCTACTCACCGAGAAGACACAAAGACTACAGCGTCAAGCCGAACACTTCCGAGACGTCCTCAACCGCCCCTTAACCATCTCTGATGTCGCCATCGTCCGTCTGCCGCAAGTGGAGACCAACGTCGACCTCGACCTCCGCCCTCTCCACGAAACCATCAGGGCCGCGAAGCAGCTCTCCAGTGGAAAGCGCCCGGACCGGACGCAATCTCTGCTGAGGATCTACAAGCACGGTGGCCGCCAACTCATGGATCATCTGACGGCGCTCTTCCCGGGGATGTGGCGTCAAGGAGAGGTCCCGCAGGATTTCAAAGACGCCACAATCATGCATCTATAAAAACGGAAAGGTAACCGCCAGCTGTGCGACAATCATTGAGACATGTCCTTGCTGAATATCGCCGGGAAAAGCTTTGCTCGCATTCTCCTCAACCGCCTGAATAATCACCTGAAAGAAGGTCTTCTGCCGGAAAGCCAGTGCGGCTCCCGTCGTCATCGTGGGATCACGGACATGATCTTCGCCGCCGCCAGCAGATGATGACCCACCTATATTCTACCCTCATGGATCTGACGAAAGCTTTTGACACGGTGAATCGTGAAGGACTGTGGAAAAGCATGCAAAAATTCGGCTGTTCCGAGGGATTCACTCAGATGGTACGTCAGCTCCACGACGGCACGATGGCGCGCGTCTCAGACAACGGGCTGTCTCAGAGGCATTCGCAGTGACCAACGGAGTGAGGCAGGGATGCGTGCTGGCGCCTACCCTCTTCAGTCTTATGTTATATGCCATGCTGATGCTGATGAACGCCTCGGGACCCGCATCGCCTATAGGACGGACGGCCACCTCCTCAATCAACGGCGGATGCACTTCCAATCGCGCGTATCCACAAGCACAGTCCACGAACTACTCTTCGCCGACGACTGCGCCCTAAACACCACCTCGGAAGAGGACGAGCAAAGGAGCATGGATCTCTCCTCCGCCGCCTGCGAGAACTTCGGCCTGGTCATTAACACGGAGAAGACGGTGGTCATGCACCAACCGCCACCCAACACAGCCCCTCCACACAATGCGCTGCAAATCAACGGGAACGGAACCCAACTGGAAGTGGTGGACAACTTCACGTATCTGGGCAGTACCCTTTCCCGAAGCACGAAAATCAACGACGAGGTAGTCCGCCCGATTTCAAAGGCCAGTCAAGACCTCGGCGTCTTCAATGCAGTTTGGAATCGTCACGGTCCCCAGCTCAGCACGAAACGGAAGATGTGCAAAACCGTCACCCTCCCGACGCTGCTGTATGGAGCAGAGACGTTGACGGTGTACACAAAGCAGGCACGCCGACTCAATCACTTCCATCTCAGTTGTCTTCGCCGCATACCGAAGCTGAGGTGGCAGGACCGAATCCCAGACACTGATGTACTGGAAGGGACGGAAATCCTTAGCGTCTACGCCATGCTGATACAACTGCAGCTGCGTTGGAGCGACCATCACGTGCGGATGGGCGACGAGCGGCTACCCGAACGACTCTTCTATGGAGACATCGCCACGGGTTCCCGCCGCCAAGGAGGCCAAATCCGTCGATTCAAGGATACTCTGAAGTCCTCCCTGAAGTGTCTGCAAATCGACCCGTCCAACAGGGAAGACCTCGCCCGAGACCGACCGACCTGGAGAAGGACAGTGATGACAGGCGCTGGAATCTCTGAAGCCAACCGCATCGCCGCCGCGACAGCCGAACGAGAAGCACGCAAATCTCAGCATCGCCCACCTCGCAGTGCCAACGCACGACCGCCGCCAGCGTGTCCACGGTGTCAACGGACATTCCGGGCGCCGATTGGACTTGTTGGACACCTTCGGATCAATGGCATCGCTCGGACTGCACCAGCCATCGCCCCTCCGTCCACCTCTTCCTCTTCCTCTACGCGGTCAACTAATTCTGACCGCCCCCCCTGAACTAGTACTTCCATTCTCCTCCTCCTTCGCTGCCCCAACGGCTGCCGTTGTGGCGCTTGCCACCCCCACCCCCACTACACACAATCCTGTCACATCAACAAACACCGCCACCACCACCACTGTCGACACCAGTGGAGAGGACCTGGACTACACCTGCCCTCACTGCGACCGCAGCTTCACCTCACACATCGGCCTGGTCGGTCACTTGCGAATCCATCGCACAGAGACTGGCCAACCAGTGCCTGCGGCACCAACCTACAACCGCCACATCCGTCTCCATTGTCCACACTGCACTCGCACATTCATGCACCGCATAGGTCTAGTTGGCAACATGTGCATTCACGAAAACCTGCGGTAGACAGCCGCCGCCTGCACCCCACTACGACACTCTCCCTCACACCATCTCACCGCACATCAACATCACCCACTACAAGCACTCAACTGCCACCCCCACGCAAGTGGGAAGTGTGCGTTTCGACTCGGTCTCCGTGCGGCTCCTGTTGCATGGGCGACTCGAGCCTGAAACTATCCCGATGCGTCAAGCACCGTGGATTTGAAGGCTGGTGATTGACGCCCCAACTTAGTCCACGCAGTCAGTCCAGCTGTGTGTGTTTGTGTGGAGTGGCGGACTGGGAGCCAGGCCGAAACGGCTCCTTCCACGGCACTCTCACGCATGTGAGAGATACGCTGCTCAAACCCCGTTGTGTGAAATCCTGGTGCCTGTGTTTGGGGGAGCCAGGTCGTGCATGTGGCGCGCGCAGACAAGGTCACTAGACCATGTCAGCCACCGCGCCCATTCTCCGCTGCAGTCAACTGACCGGCTCGGACAGGGGCTGAGGTGTGGGAATGGGAAGGGAGAGTGAGGTCGACGACTCAGCGCATTTCCCTCCTCACTGTAAACAATTTGACGCGCTTGAAGCTATCACAGTGGAAGGTTGCCAATTGACGGGATAACTTGGACCCCGCAGTCGGCCCAGTATGACCTTTGCCGGAACACTCACCTCTGTGAGCTCTGAACCTGTGTGTGGTACGCGTTAGACGGCCAATTAGCGTCACGTCAGCCACCGCGCCCATTCTCACCCCTCGGTCGGCTTGACTGGGCAGACCATTCGATCGCAGTGGGTGGGGAAGAGAGAGAGACAGATTCCGGACAAATATGTCGCACTTTAAATAAATTTGTACGCAAGTCACCACTGTCCCCGGTCCGGCACAAGCCACTCCAACGTTACTGGGTAGTTCCGGCATGGTGTGAACACGTGGAAAAGACAAAACTAGTTGATCAAGTGACTCTGGTTCAAATCCCGGGCATGCGTCCTTATGGCGGCGTATAACTGGCTGATGGGAGCAAATAAGCCGAGAATGGCCATTTCAGTCAAAACTTCCAGACTGGTAACTGCCAGCCATCACGCGACGATCTGCGTGAGTTGTAGGCCCTCGTCTGAAAGGACGAACAGAAATGCTCATTCCTATTCCTCGACCAGAATCGGTCGCAGCACGTCACTCCCATATAACTGATGAAGATCACGCGAAATTTTGGAAAGAGGGATGAAACATACCTTTCGTCTAGATATCCTGCCACCCACTTGTTGATCATGCTTGTCAAGGCCTCTTCATCAAGTATGACCAGTAGACGTTCAAGACAAAGAGTGCTGGTTTTTGGGACACCCTCAGTGTCCAGACGTCGAAGGAGGAGAATGGGGTCCTCATCAGCTAATCCGAACCAAGTCCGCAGCAAACCTTCGGCGGCATTTTGAACCTCATCTATATGAAAACAGGCTGGGTCAGAAGGTATGGGTTAGAGGGAGGAAATTAAACAACACTCATAAATGTATGTTCAGTGAGGTACAGCTTCCAATTAACGAGACTAATTTACTAGTATCATCGGTGGATGTTTATCCGATATAACCATTCCGAGTGCCTAGTATACAATCAATGACTTTGAAAGTCCGCCTATGCCGACAAGCCCCGAGGATGAGGTCAACTTCGTCTTGGATAGTCGATCCGGAAACGTTTTAGCCGAAAATGTCGTCTGTGTTGGCATTCATATCTCGAAATGCGAACTACTGTGGGATAACAGCTTCGGACTTGAATCTACCAAGTGACCAGCAGGCATTCAATGGTAAAAATTTGTAAACCGGAGCGTTTTTACCACAAGTTTGTGAACTTACTGGAAGGGTCGGTTAGTCCGTCTTGCATAATGGAAATGCGCTGGGCTATGGAAAGAGGTCGCAGCACAGAGTGTTCTGTCAGGATGCCGAATGCCGTCCTTCGGATTACATTCGAGACGTCACGGCAGCGCTCAACCACGCACGGCAGCGTCGCTGTGGTCAGTATCAGTGCGGCCAGAGCCCTGCGGCGTACCTCAGGACTGTTATCGTGACGAGCGAGCCAGATGAGTGCAGCAACAACAGGACAGTCCTTGTCCAGGGGATTCTGAAGTCGTGCCAAGCCGTAGATCGCCTGAATCCGTATGGAATGCTGCCAAAGGTGAACATTAACCCCCCTCTTTAAAGCCTCTGAGCAGATTTTCGAACGGTCTGAATTATGAAAAAGTTGGGACTATCAACGAAATCATTTCGTGGTATGCGCCAGAGGAATAAAGTGATACTGACGATGAGGACGGCTATAGCGATAATAACGAGGAAATGCCGGTGATGGAGATGATTGTGATGACAAGGATGATAATTATGGGGGAGGAGGAAAACAACGGGGAGAAGGGGAGGAGGAGGGGAGCAAGGGGGAAGATGATTATTATTATTATTACGGTGATGCTGACGCTGGTCAGGAAGGCTTTCTCGGGCTGACAGAATATGAGTTTACACAATGCGTGAAAGTACTCGGATAGGTGTTCATCAAAGGGAGTGAGCAAGCACACAAACTTATTGGGCGACCACAAGTCCTAGTTCGATCAAAAATTTCAAAATTAAAATTCCACGAGGAAAGTGTCAAATAGTTCAACTTCGCTTCAGGAATTGCCACCAATCGACCTGAGTGGAGATAAATCCTTTGTGCTGTGGTTAAAATGTAACATGGGGACCAGTTGAATCAGTCCTTATTTCTTCGTACGTAAAGCTGTAACATGATCTTCAAGACAATTTTCGCAGAAACCAAGGAGTCTTCGAAACACTTATTGAGTCATTACTGAAAGGTATTGTGCAAAAAGTTAGGGACTGATTGTTTTGCGTCCCTAAATTATTTATGTCACAAAGCAACCGTCTTATGCAGCAGGCCGCGGGAATTAGGACCTAAAATGTCTGGCTGTAATGGGCAAGGAATCATTCCTCGTGCGACTGTTCTCTGTATGCAAAATACCTTGATAGAAATCACAACAACAATAATGCTGCTTGCCGTAATGGAAGCAATTAACTTGAAGGAAATAAGTAAGATCAATCACAAGGCCCACAAAAATGAAATACTTGCCTTCACGTCCCGTGATCGCTGGAGGAGGACACGTCGGATCGCGTCAAACAACTCCATAGGTAAACAGGACTGAGGATCCATTACTCGTAAGAGCTTAGAGATGAGCTGAGTGCATCGAAATCTCGGGGCTTGGTCGGCACATTCGTGGTACTACAGCCGATAAAATCGTTTAACGTTGACGAAAGCAATAAATTCCAAAAAAGTAAATTATGAACTGTTTCCAAGGTTATGTGACAGGAAAATGCTCCAAAACATCACGGTTTCCGTACTGTAAAGTCAGTCTCGATTAGGTCCGGGGCAAAACCTCAAAAAGGTCACAAAGTCTCGTACTGATGCTGGGTCTAGTAGAGTCTAGTAGGAAAAACCCGCATTTCAGTCGATAAGATGTCTCGACCCGCCTCTGTAATAAACTTTGGCGTTTAAAATGAAAATTCCAGAAGACGAGATCTGCTTGCTGGTCCAACTGCCGGCTATTTGGCACGCCCAGAGGTGACGGATACTGAAGGTTGGCTGCTAAATAAGCAATCCTAAACTAGCAGAAATAGCGCTCTCAGGACCCGTGGAGTTGGAGTCTAGCAAAACGAATATCCCAGAAAATGCCGCGAAGTACAGGAGCGGAAATGTAACATGGCAGGCATGAACCTCCACTAAATTAGTCTGTCTTGCTGCCGCCGTCTTGTGGGATGGGCCCCCATCCAAGAGTCAATTTAAGAGGCAAGGAGACCGGATTTAATAAAATCGCCGAGGCGCTATCATGCAGGTTCGCTGATCGCGAAGTTCGACTCATTATAGAGCGGTCGCGATATCGGACGCGTACGGACCCTTATGAGCGGGTCAGACGATACGTATGGACGTTAGCCTCTTCGAAATGAAGAAGAGATTGCGCATTACAAGTTAGAGGACGACAACCGCGGGCTTGGGCGCACCATGACTTGGACTTTCTATGCCTCTCCGAGTTGTGCTTGTTAGATTATAGCAAGCACAGTATCAAGGCGTTAGACGCTGAGAAACTCTACCAGCCATAATACAGTGGTCTTACTGAACTCTAATTAACATGACGTCTCAGCCGCTCAGTTCAAAGCATACGTATGTGATGGGAACCGGTGTCACCGAGGATCGCACTTCTGCATCTTCATGATGTTGTCGTAAACGCACCGATGTCGCGTTCCGAGCCCCGGTGTTGGATATTACTGACACCCAGCAGGAAACGTTTTTGACGGACATCAGACCAATATCAGGCGTCTTCTGATGTGTGATCTTTTTGCCCTGCTGGAACTAGGGTCTCAGGTCGAAGGAGAATGCTGCACCAACTAGACGAGGCCTTGGTCACAACGCAGTAGAAAACCCTGCGCGAATGGTGGGAAGCCCCCAGCTTCCGCTACACGGAACAGCCTGAATGTTACGAAAAGCAGCTTCTAGTACCCAGGAAACGCTTGGTCACCTGGCGCTCGAGTGAGTCACACTCAAGATCAAATCGACTTCGAACCTGTGAAGCACGCCCAACCGGTTCACTGCTAGACTCCCACTTAAAGCGTGGTGGCAAAACCGGTAGAAAGGACGGCTCTGGCCAAACCATCGAGAGGGCTCGTTCGCAGTTCAAACTACATGTTGTCGAAAAGACATGTCAACAAGTACAACGTTGGTCGCCTAGTGGATCCTGCAACTGCCACAGGCTTCTATTCAGTTGTCTCTGGCCACTTCGCAGGGCTCATGCAGATGACAACCACATCCAGGACATTTCTGGCAGAAAAGAACTGGCATGCATCAAATTCTACTCTTCATAAAACTTCCTAGTAGCTGCTCGGTCACAGTAGCCGTGGACGTAAGGATCGGATCTCTGGTGAAATAATTCGACTGACAGACAGTCCGCGTTCTCCCGACCATCGTGACGACTCAAACTTCGGGAACCTGCGTTGTGGATCCATACGCGCTGCACAGTACGAGTGAGGCCAATTCTGGAGTAAGATTGTCCGATATCTCGAATGTGATTCAGTTAATAAAAATACGTCCACAATGTTTCAGATTTTGAGTATCAACCAACCTCTTAGCTGGATACAGCCATGGTGTGGTGATTATGTCCACGCTGGACACGGAACTCCGAGAGAAGGACTCTGCGCAGTTTCTGAAGCCGACAGGTTCGCGCTTCTGATGTAGTTCGGTTTGAAGGAACTTGGGCGCCCGAGTATAACTATGACTGTAGACCACCACTTAACGAGGTCTTTGAAGCGATAGACAGATTTAACGACAAGGCACCCGGCGATGGCTGCCTTCGAATGGAAATCTACATGTGCTGCTCAACAACACTAGTTGACCGACTACAGGACCTCTGCTCCAAATCTAGAAAGCAGAGACCATACCCGCAGACTGTAGAGAGACAGTCACTATGTCGATCGAGAAGAGTGGCCGATCATCACAAAAACTACCACGGCGTACGTAAGGATGCTTCAAAGGTCTACTCCACCGTCCACCTTAATCGTTTCTGGTTCCCCACGAAGAGTGGACAAGGTCAGTGCGATTTTCGGCCAGGACGGGGATGCCTAGGCCACTTTTACCTCCACCGGACCCCAGAAAGCAGGCGCTATTACTGGCAAAACACTCATCTGCTTAGTGGATCCTGCCTCTGCTTCTGATTCTGTCCCCCAGGATTTCCTGTAGCCGGGCATGCTACACGACGGAATGCAACCGAAGTTACTTCGTCTGATCCAAGCTTACTACCAGCAAGAAACAAAATACGTGCGAACGACAGGGAGAATAACTTATTTGTAGTCAACTCCGACGCTCATCAGGGCCCACCTCCGGCAGCAACTCGGTTCAATTATACGACAAATTGGGTTTTTGGACGCGCACTGGAAGACTACTCAGTGTTGCATATCTAACCACGCTAACATTGTTACGGCGCCAGTGAGTTTTATCATTGAAATGTGACGTGCGGTATCTCACACAGGTGTAAAGGCAGTCGAAGTGCGCAAGAAAAGCAGATTTTCAAGAACGAATATTCATACTGAGTTTTGAAGATGTAAGTATCGGCTCAACCAGAGTATGCGGTGAGGTTAGTGGACCAATGAACGGTTCCTGATAGCTTGTATCGACCTTTTTGTCAAACACACAAATTTATGGTAGAGTCGACCATCGGACGCTCCAAGTGTGCTGGCTGTCCCCGTTGAACTCCGTCAAGACCGCTGGGATTGCCGTGAGACCAGTTTGATGACAAAGTTAGAAGTATATAAGGCTTCGTTCAAGAAGATCCTTTTGCGCAGATTCGAGACCGGGACCTCAAGCTCCATTCTCCTAATTCATCAACTTTATCACATTTGCTTCCAGCAAGTGTAGACTCTGCCAGGAACGCAACTCACCAACTGAGATAGTTAGGTCACGCACCCTGTCGATCTGAAAGCGAAATCGCTCTAAATATCAACTCGCACGAACCAGACCATAGCCGGTTACGTCGTCGAGGGAGATGACTCGAGATGTAGATAAATGGACTTGACGAAAACCGATCTCGGTCGCATCTCTGAGTCCCTGATCTTTGGTCTGGGGGGCTGGGATGCCAACTGACTCAACGTCGTTGGAAGTCCGTTGTCGACTGATCGCAATAATAGGTATTCATTCACAATGCGATAAACAAGACACGCGGTTAGCTTAATCAGTCACGGTAAACGCCTTTACAAGTACGGGTGGAGGCGATTTAGAACGATCTCCATGAGACGCACAATGATGAAGGGTGCTACTTCACACTGAACAATATTTCTAAGAGCCTTTACGGCTTGATGTGTTAGAATAAATCCTAGGAAAAATGACTCGAGCCTTTGCTACGTCACAATCAAATAAACTTGCCTTAAAACAGAAGAAGAACATCTTGATAAGAAGCCTTTTATTCGCTGTTTCTTCGGCCCCGCTTGTACTTGTTTCGTTGGTAGCATAAATCACAAAGCGAACGATAAAGTCGATTGTGCACTCCCGGTAGGTCGAACGCACGGAACTCACTAGGCTGTACCGACATAATTCGAAAAATTCTTCTGTAAAGTGTCCGAACGGCATCTAGAAAATACACGATTCCAGGAGTTAGGACAACGGCCTTGACGTCAAATGTAGCCAGCTGGATTAAAACTATCATTACTGACGCTTTATTCTTTTTAGATATCTGCAAAGTATACTTTTCAGTAAACGATTCTCGCGAAAAACGTCCACAAAGTGTGATATTTGATAAGAATTTGCATTAAGCCGAATTCATTAAAAGAATAAACTTCCTACTATAATTATCTAAAATAAGGTTTGTACCATAAAAATTCAGCAATTATTGGACCCCATGTACGGCAAGGTCATCATCAATCTTCAGTTTGCCATTCCCTCCCTGGTTACGAACGTTTTGTCTACTCCGTTTGGGATACGAAGGTTTTGACTGCCTGCCCGAGTGGTATTTTATTGTGGAACAAACCAGGTTTTCAAAGAAAGTAAGACTTAATATCAACCAATTCTGACCTGTTTGTAGACGGCCAGCAGTGAGTCGCAGAGGCGTTCGTGCGACAATTTCGTCTCCTGGCATTCCTCAAAAATACTAATCATTGGAGAGCTGACAGCCATCTCACCCTCTGCTCGTTTTTTGGCTTTCTAAAAAGAGGGTAAACAAAGAGGTGTAAATAACTAAACGATTAACCCCGCTTAGACTGTGACATGATCGTCAACAGTTGCATTATGATTTTTGACTGCGTGAGAGTCGCGCTAGTGCCCCAAATTTCGGCGTCTGACTGTCAGTCGACAGCCGCACAGACGACCAACCTCACCCACAATCGTGTCACTAGCGTCTTAACACCACTCACGCAACACATGAGGCGTCTCTTGTCCAGTTGGATCGGGTAACGCCAACGCCCACAAGCAAGCACAGCCTCACGCGCGCGCAGACTGAATATGCTTGTCATCTTTAGTGCCTCGTAGTTATGTGGTCACAATCTGGCTCACGGGTCAACCAATCACAAAAGTGACGGGACGTATTGTGTGATTATAGTTGGCTTTATATCCCTGACCGTCACAACCATTTGGCGCAGAACTCTGCTCGGCAGACAAGCGCCCAACCTAGATACTTAGGCTGAGGAATAACCATATTCTATGCTGAAAGCGTGATGGAAGGAGGTAACTCATTTTTGTATGAAATGGAAAGAGGAACATTAAGAAGAACGGCTAGCAAAATGCCAACAATAAGGGTTGGGGTCAAGATCCCTTAATAATTTTGGTTGAGTCACCGTACGGAAAGTGGAATTTCTTTTCATAGCAGTACAATTCCCCAAAACGCTGTGTTGTCGATTAGTCGGGTATTTCAAACATGCCTTTCAACTCCCTATTCGACCAGCCGGCAACCAGCACCGCCTTACGAATTCGATAGAGACCATTCGAAAGGAAAAGCGATCGCACCACATGCTACCATTAGTTGGCAGTCAGGAATGCCCAGGATGTTTTGACTACCCATTATTCGAGACTGTTCGAAGAAGGTTCACAAGATACTGGAAATTAATGGCGCAATGTCACAGAAAATATCCATAACTCTTGAAAGGCAAATAATTCATAAACGAACAAAGTTTTGCACAGTAACACAAAACACTGTGTCCTAGGTCAATTTTCGTCAAAATTGGTAGGGGATTCATGAGAATGTTCTGCTTAAAAAGGATCTAGGTTCTGAGGATAGGTTGTGGGATTTTACCTATAGCAGCTACTTAAATTAGGAAAAGGCAGTCCTCTGTCACTGTTTCAAATGCTCCTGACTCAAAATAATAGGGATTTTTGAAGGTTATTTTTGCTTACCACGATGCAAAATAGTAGCGTTCGGTCTCTGATGGTTGCGCTGTGAAACGGAAATTCATGTATTATCAACGTCGTTACATCAAGGGTGAACGCACTTTGATTCAGGACCGATATATATGTATATATATATATGCATATATATATATATATATATATATATATATATATCGATAAATGTATAGATATCTATAAGACTGTCCAAATCAATATATTTTGGAAGAAAATTACGTCCAACAAAACACCTCGACATCTCCTTCTCGTAGTACCGTATTCAGGCAAAGATTGGTCAGTCCCTTTTAATGCATAGTGCATACTCCAACTCTGGATCACGAGGAAACGACCAAACATTTGGACGTGGCAGGCCCGAAACCATTATGATGATTTTGGACACAGGAATGAAATTACGTCGCATGAATAAAGAAGCTTGAGGATGACAGTGAACAGCTATTAAGTAACTCGATCGAACAGATGTGCGATAAGTTGTGAAGACGAATTAGCATGAGGAAAAAATTCGACGAAGACACGGACGAGGAAGCGTGTCAAGTGTAACTTAACAATTGTTGCATTACAGATAAAAGCATGCGAAGCCCTGAAAAGTACAACTACTTAGTCGATCCAGAATGTAAACACATTACGCTGCTGAATGGTTCGTTTGTTCATCGATGGTGAAAATGTACATTTTCAGCCTCACGTGAGTAAATAATCCAAGCATGGAAAATTAAGTTCGATGGAGGAAAATGTTCATTTGCAAGAAATCGAAAAAGCCAATTCCGAAAAATGGTTTGTCGTCCGTAATTGAACGAATGTTGGTCTGAACCAATAAAATTTCTACCGACGCTGTCGAGAGAAGGGAAACCCACCGAGCCAAAGGGGCGAAAACACGTTATGGTCACTCAGAACACGCGCTTAAATGACAAATCATTTTACATCACGCATTTTTAGGTTCAAGACGATTATGTGGAAGAGATGTTTGGACTCCAAGTTTCACTTACTGAAAAAAATAGTTTTTTTGATAACGGGTCCACGAACGTATAAAGCAGCATTGGAAGCCAAAATGGTCTCATATGAAACCTGTTGAGGGTATTAAATGGGGCGCATACACGAGAATAGAGGCGATGAAGGCAGCCTGTAACGGACAAATCTCTGATCGATTTCGAAAAAATACGTTTGGCAAATGAGGATAACTCCTATTCCTGGCAGATCAAAGGAAATCCCCGCGCAAAGGAGCACATAATACAGTACCAAGACGCAGGCAGAGAAACGCAATAATGGGGAATTAAGAGTAGCGTTTTAGTAAAGATAGGATAAGTTTTCGGCGTATTCCCTAAGAATAACGGATGAAAGTTACGTACTACCTAGAAACGACTTTCCTGTTTCACACCTGCATTTTCTTCAATCTCATGTCGTGCTGAAAACGCATTACCGCAAGCCTTTTGCTCACTTTCTGACATATCGACAGCCTCTGGGCGCCCTAGTAGGTGCTCATAGATGGAGGAGGCTGTGGTTTGTGGCTAGCTGTCCGCCCATAGAGAAGCTGATCCAGCAAACTGATTGTATCCAAAATTGACAATGCAGTATGCTCCGTCATCTATGTCAAATTAATCGGCGTTTAGCTCAAGTTGGGAATTTAGTCGCTGGCATTCACAATACGCCCTTCCCTAGTTGACTTTCTTCCTGCTTTCACGGCAGTTCACACTGCCAGGGGATTCTAATCTGACTACCTCACTTTACTTTTAGAAACAGCTCAGAAGTTAATCTCTAAGTGGTTCTTTAACTTTTCATTATCATTTGGACTAATCGCAGGTGTGCAGGAGGAGGAATATGTGCACTGGTTTCAGATGGAGATATAAAGCTTTCTATCTCCATCTGCGACCAGTCCCAGATGACTTTCTTACGCGAGTTTCATTTAATCACATAAACCTTCTTCCGTGTTGACACGTCTTCATATCCTTGCTTCCTCAAACCACCAACCTCAGGCGCCTACGTATGACTGACCTTCACATGGCGGATAGGAGCCTTGCTTTGGCTTGTCTCAGTTTTCTCTGCTCTTCGAATAGAATAGAATGGGTTTTTTTAAGCACTTTCAGTCCTCTTTGAACACAGGAAAAAAATCCAAAACGAACTCATTTATTTCGGCTGCACTTTGACTACATTTGCCTTGGTGTGCCTGCTTGGTCAATAGGGAGCGAGATGGGAGTTTGTTTTCGATTGAGAAAACCCGAATTCCAGCGCGGGACAATAGCAAAAGTTAGTAGAAAGAAGGACATATCCAATATAGAGATTGAAGTCTGCAGTGTAGAAGTTTATGGGGTTATCAGTATGTAGCCTTTTGTTGGACTGGAAGAAAGTTTACATCAGCTTGACGTTGAACTTACTTTCTGGTTGATTAAATTTGGGTGTCTGCCAGTTGCCAGTCGTCAGTTTATTTGGGCAATTGCTTAGGGCTGGTCGCATTATTCGTTTGTGTCTCAGGAAGTCTATCATGATGTGTGGGTTAGCAGATGAAAAAGATGAATATGTATCAAGAGCAGGAAACTTTCATTGGTAAGTCACAATCAGAGATATCAAAATAACATTTAGTCAGGTTTTATATTGTTCCTTCTTAATAGTAATTGGCATGGAGTAGATATAGGAGCAATACCGATTCGTGGAGATAACAGTTCTGACACATCATTTGTTACCACTCTTATGCAATCTGACCGTCGATCTTTTGCCGTTCTTTTGTTGCTCTGCGATAGAGCGTGCTCGCGCGTACACGCCGCTACCTCGTATGTGTGGTGTGGAGCTCTTGGTTTTACGTGCACTTGCTCAGCTTTGTCATTATTTTTTATGTTTCTGTTGCTTTAACCCCATATCCAACAACGTCAAGGCAGGAGTCAGAGAGGACAACAAGACGCCGGAGTAAGAAGTATGAGTGCAAGGTCCTTCAGGAAATGGAGGAGTCTCTTAAGATAAGTCGCACATCTCATAATTCCTCGTGAAACGCATTAGTAGGAAACAACGTTTTCCCCGAGTTCGAGAAAAAATGGAAGAAGTGTATCATTTCTGGTGGTTAATTTAGGAAGTACTCATACTAGATCCCCTGGGGACGCAGAAAACAGAAGGACCGTGACGACTGATAGTGGTCACGAATACGCCAGTACGACCTCGTTAAGCTCATCTCCTTCTCGCTTTTCCGAGACGGAATTAGTCTTCACGTCAACGTGAAGGGACGGAAGTTAAAAGAGAGTCTCAGCCAGTCAGCTATATATAAAGTCATATATGGCAAATATGTCATTCTCTCCCTCGCCGTCTACATGCAGAATTTTTGCTGTTTGGAGTACCTCTGGCGCCGTCAGATTATCGGATCTCGAGTCTGCGTCCACGAAGCGACTCAAAAAGGTCGTTGGACAGTTATGTCCAACGAGTTCAGAAGAACAATCGCAGACCGAAATAGACAGGTAAGCTAACTTCAAATATTTTAGAAATAATCTCGTCCTACAGAAAATAATCGGGATCCTCGGCAGGGGATCGACCTTCATCCTTGCAACCACCAATAATGCACTACAGCTGTTTGATTACTTAATTCAGAACTTTTTTCAATTTGTAAGCCTTCAAAATAATTGGTCGTCATTGCCACAGTCGCTTATTGGTTGGTCAAAAACTGGTTGAGAAAGGCACTTAGAAAGTATTTGAGTAAACCACAGACATTGTGTTAAGCAAATGCAGCGTACGCCGTGCCTAAAATCCCGCTATCACTGTTTCAGGAGTATCTCAAAAAATAGTTATCTACTGAATATCGCCTCAGTACAGTTTGATACAAGGCCTGGTAATAGGACATTATAGGAATATTGGCAGATTATTTGATATGATCCAATATAGCCCTTCATGAGCTTAATATTTTCTCAAAAAAGTCTTACGGACAACTGCTATGTAGAGCTTTATGGGAAGGTATATTAGTATTAGTTGCTAAGGGTTTTTAGTGTCTGGGGAGCCAGTTGATGGAAATGACAAGAAAAGAACAGAAGGAATATCTCCATGTGTGCTATGCTTATTAATGATACCGTTCATCTTAAATTCAATTTTTTAGGTGTATTTTCTTGTGTTATTTAAGTGACAGGCATCATCAGTGCCCTTTTGGATCCAATTGAATATCAGAGAATTGACTTAAAATATGTCATATTTTATTCACAAATAAATGTGTATTGTATTTTAAATAATTTCTTAATGTTTACCTTGAATCCACTACCTTTTCACTTTTCGAATAAGACTTGGGAGGGTATTCCGGATAGTCGCATGTCTTATGGAGTAGAAGTTTGTTCGTTGGGACTTTCCGAATTTGAGGATTCTTATAATATCATTGTGGGGGTGGGGTGTGGAGAATAGCAGTCAGTTCCAGGGACGGGGGGAGAGCAGAGGGGTGCGGAGAGTTGCAGCGTTAGTTAGCCTTCGACCACGGTAGGCGCGGAGCCTGAACGTGGTTCTTCTGTGGGCACAAGATTGGTTTTCGTAAGCCGACGGCGGCCGCTCCTGCCGTTGCCAACAGGCGCCGGCCCACTAGCTTAGGGTAGCCCGATGGGACCTTGTAAATCGCACGAAAAGCATCGCTGGGGTCCACACGATGTCCAGAATCAACAAAATGTGCGAGAATGTTGCTGCTTATGCTGCTAGGTTTGCCTTTTCCTAGAGATACCGGAAGGTGTTCTCTTATTCCCTTGAATAAGCGCCGACACGTGCGACCAATATGGAAGCAAAACAGCAAACGAGTTCGAAGATTCATTGCAAGTGCATATGTGTTAGTGTTGGGAGTGCCTGCACTTTCAAGAACAAGAACCGGCCAGTCACTGGAGGCCAGGTGTGTTCTTCTCTTCTCGCTGTCAGCATGATCGTGGTGCCTCTTCGTTGGCTGATCCCCCCGAGCCTCATCGATCCGTGCATGCGACTAATCAAGCTGCTCCTCTAGAATTTCTTCCCAACGTGCATTGGGCCGAACGCAGGTGAACCCCAGTAGGATGTGTTAAATACGCGTTACTTGCCCAGTCAGACCTGAATTGCAGCATC